GGCTAGAGTGCCATGGCGTCAGCCTAGCTCACAGCAACCTCAAACTCCTGGGCTCAAGCGATCCTCCTGCCTCAGCCTCCCGAGTAGCTAGGACTACGGACATGCGCCACCATGCCTGGCTAATTTTTTCTATGTATTTTTAGTTGTCCAATTAATTTCTTTCTAATTTTAGTAGAGACGGGGTCTCGCTCTTGCTCAGGCTGGTTTCGAACTCCTGAGCTCAAACAATCCGCCCGCCTCGGCCTCCCAGAGAGCTAGGATTACAGGCGTGAGCCACCGCGCCTGGCCCAGACCCAAATTTAATGTGTCCCTCACTCAGCTTCCAATTTGTTGAAACTCAAAAATGCCCATTGCTATTTCATCATCACCTGGCACGAGGAGCTGCGATGGAGGAAGGCGGCGGGGTGTATTATAATAATTTAATCAGCCAGTCCTCTGCCTTGTGCTCCTCCCTTCCTGCTTTTCGGTAGTGCCAGTCATGATTAGCCATGGTTTTGCAAAGTCCCTAGTTGTGGAAATCTGACAGCCTTTTAATATTAATTTCCTTATCAACTATGTAAATATTTACTCCAGGTCATTTGGTAGGTACTACATGGAAAGGGCTCTCTCCAAGGACACCCACGATCTGCTGATTAGCAAATGCAACAGCTTTTCCTTATTTACATCTTCTTGGACATCTCTGTACTATTTTTACATGTGACATTTGTCTACTTCCAGGTTGTTGTAAGTTGAATTAGTTTTGACTCTTTGGTTGCCTTGAAATTGTTGGCTTCCAGGGTAACTTTGTCTGAGTCTTTACTTTCTTCTTGTTGGTCAATAGGTAGCATTTACTTCAGCAGTGATTATTAGATTTCACTGTGCTAGAGGAAAATTTGACATTTTGCTATGCCAAATGTCAGACAGGAAAAAATGTTCTGCTTATAATGGCAGAGTATTAGAAACCGTCTTAAATAGCTATCAATAGGGGATTTATTAAATTATGGTAATGTATAAATGTGTGTATGTGTGTATTTATGTATTTATCTCTATATAAATAATAGTTAAAACTAACATGTATATTTGTATTTATGTGGAAATGCCTGCAGATATACTTTTTAGTAGAAAAAGCAGGCTAGAAAACAAAATATATTAATACATGATTTTATAGTTTAAAAACTACATATGCATAGATTATAACATGTTATTTCCTTATTTTGTATGTAGTGTTTTACCATTTCTAGAGCCCTTTTACATACATTTTTGTTTTGATTTTGCACATGATTATTATTTGGGTATGCAAAGAAGGCAAGTATTAAGTTTTATTTTCTAAATGAGGGACTGATTGGGAAATAATATAGTGAGGGGGTAAGAACTTGAAAGACCGAGGATCCAATCTTGGCGACCAAATCCTAGCATTGCTTCTTGCTGTCTGTGTACGTCATAGGACCTTTATTTCCCTTGTCTGTAAAATGAGCTGGTGTTGGGGGACTAAATGGCAAAGAATGAGAAGTGCCTGTATAGTGCTTGATTTGTAGGTACCTGTAATCAGTGAGTAATAGATAATCTATGTTAATTACAATATTAATGTTTTCAACAATAAGAGGTTTTTCTTCCCCTAATGTATTAATTAATGCTGTGTAACTAACTACCCTAAAACTTAGTGACTTAAGACAACAAACTGTTGTTATCTTTTAATTTCTGTGGGCCAGGAATTTTGGAGTGGTTTTGGTCAGGTTTTCTCAGATCGCAGTCAAGCTGCCAGCTGGGGCTCTGTCATCTTGCCTGGGGCTGGAGGACCCACGTCCAAGATGGCTCATTCCCATGGCCATTGGCAGGAGGCATTAGTTTTTTGGTACTTGGATCTCTCCATAGGGCTGCTTGTGTGTTGTCCCGATATGGCTATGGCACTGGTTTTCCCCAGAGTGAGTGATGAGAGAGAGAGAGAGAAAACATACTGGGAGTATGAGCATGCAAGGCAGAAACCACAGTGGCTCTTTGTGTGTCACAGGATGAGAATCCTGGGAAGGCATGGATGTTGGGAACCATCTTGGAGACTGGCTGCCGCACTCAGTAACTGACACGCTGAAATTTAAATCCAGGTCGCCTGGCTCTTTCTATCACTGACATGTTGGAGTGCCCGAGGCTTTGCACTTAGTCTTCCTTTTTTCTGTCTATACTCACACCCACTTACAATTCAATTCCAGACCTTTCCGCTGAACTCATGACCCGTATATCCAGTAACCACTCTAGTTGAAGCTGAATAGGCATTTCAGCTTCAGCATGTCCAAAACTGAGCTCCTGACACCCCCACCCCAACCCTGTCTCCCTGTGGGCCTCCCCATCTCAGGGATGGCAGTGCTATTCTTCCAGTTGCTCAGGCCAAAACTGTAGTGTCCCGTTCGCCTCTGCTCCTCCTCTCCCATCCAGTCATCTGTCTGCAAAGCCTGTGGGCTCTGCCTTCAAAATACACCTAGAATTCAGCATGTCCCACCATCTGTGCAGCCCCCACCCTGATCCATCTCTCACCAGGATGTGCAGCCACCACCATCTCTCACCAGGATGTTACAAGGGCCTTTTCATTCTTCTCTCTGTTCTCCACACAGTAGCTGGTGGCCCTTGTAAGAGCCAGATGAGATCATGCCACTGTCTAGCACGTCCACGGCATTCAGAGGGAGAGCCACTGACCTCGCTGCACCTATGGACTCCACAGGGCTGGCCTCCCCTCCTGAGAGTCTCCCCAGTGCCCCGTCCCAGGGCCTTCACCTCTCTGCATCAAACGCTCTTCCTCCGGACTGCCGTCCCCTGCTTCCGGCAACTCCTTCTCAAATAGCACCTTCTCAGGGCGGCCTTCCAGAGCCACTCTGTCTAGACTTTCAAACACCCTTGCCCTGGTTACGCCTTGTTCTCCTTCTCTGCTTTAGTTTTTCTCCTTTGTTCTTATCACTGTCTGACTTACTCTATTTTTTATTTAATTTTCAAAAACTTCTCTTTCATTAGACTGTGAACTAGAGAGCAGACATTTTTCCCTGTTTTGTTCACTGCTATATCAAATGACCTAGTAGATTTGCATATTCTTGAAGCCATTTTTATTTTAATATTTAAGAACGTAGGTGTTACCTTCCCACACAAATATGGTTGAAGTTAGCATACCAGAAACATTTGTAACTCATCAGTACAGTGTGTTATTTCTTGCCCAAGATTACTAGATCCGATTACAGGGGTGGGAAAAAAAAAAAAGGGAAAGTTTAGGAGTTTCCCCTATGAGAACTGTTTCTTTTGTGAATTGATTGCAAGTTGGGCATGAAATTCAGATGCAGGATTAAAGTCTGTGGTTCTGTAGGGAATTATAAGGAGAGCCATTAGGAGAAGCACAAAGTGTGTGTTTAAAGACCCATATATTTTGTTTTATTGACAAATAAAACATGTATATATTTACTGTGTACAACATGATCTTTTGAAATACATATGCAACGCGGAATGGCTCAATGAGCGCTAATTAACATATGCATTACCTCACATACGTACCTTTTTTGGTGATGAGAACACAAAATCTACACTCTGAGCTATTTTCAAAATACAATACATTGTTATTAATAAGTCACTATGTTGTACAATAGATCTCTTGACCTTGTTCTTCCTATCTAACTGAAGTTTTTATATCCTTTGACCAACAAAACTCATATCTTTAACATGCTTAGAGTATGAAAGGACCACATATTGTTTGGAAAGATGTACCATATAAAAGTATTGACGGGGGAAAAAAACAGAACCACGTTTCATTTCATCTGAAGATGCTGGCAAGCATGTCAGGCATTGTAGGTGTGGGTCTTTTAGTGGCTCGTTGAGCCCCCATTTGCTGGCTAAGTGCAAGCTACTGTGCTTGATGCCTTGGGAGTAGAGAGGGATGGACTGGCCCTGCCCCCAAAAAGCTCAGGAGGCAGAGAAATGCAATCGCAGATGAGCAAGCTTTCCTGGGAGAGGGTGGCATAAAATAATGTCTGGCAGGGAGAAACAAGGCATGGACAGGGGGTGGCAGCCTTGAGGGGAGCACTGAACGGCATGAACAGGACTTCAGTAGGCAGAGAAGGGCCCCAGAACAGCCTGTGCTGTGGATGCTTCTTGCACGTTAATCATCTGGGGACCCTGTCGGAAAGCAGATTCTGATGCTATGGGTCAAGGAGAGGCAGCAGATTCTGCATTTCTGACAAGCTCTCTGGGGATGCCGATGTCTGTGGTTCGAGAGGACCCACAGAGGTGACTGCTTGTGCTTCCTTGACTGGGAAGAAGGGGCAGCCTGGAAGCTGCAGCACAGACTTCACACGTGGCCGGCTCTGGGACGCTGGGTGAACGCAGCGACAGCCAGGAGCCCAAGACTGATCTGGTTTTAGGTGCTCAAGACCACCTGACCTTTCTTTGATCACAGAGCCATTTGCTCAGCCTTTGGGCCGCTGCCCTCTCCTGCAATGTCCCTCTAAAAGTTCGCTTGGCAATTTCCATTGAGATTTGTTTGACTTTATGATCTCTGAACTCTTGGGGCATATTGCTAGAATGTTACTTTGGCTCTTCAGAAAGAAATTGATTCTATTATTGGTAGATTTTTAAATGTCTTTTTTTTTTAAAGCTGCCAGTCTCTCTTGTGATCAAGTCCAATGATTTACTTTTAAATAGCATATGAATTAATTAAATGGGTCTCTTGTTTTTAGGGACCCTAATTGGGGGAAGAGGAGATCATACCAATCATTCTTTAAAACCATCAGGGGTCCCAGTTAACCTGCGTGACCTCAGCATGAACCACCAGGGTAGTGCAGATGCCATCAAGTGGACACCATGAGGGTCACGCCTCTTCTTTCTGTAAGAATTGAAGCAGGTTGAATTTCTGACAGTTACACGGGGGTCCCCAGAGGAAAACTCTGTTGCCGCGTATTGTTGTTTTTCAGTTTTATTTAGGCAGGGCGGGCACACATGTCTGCAGATGTGTACTAAACATGCACATACATGTATGTTTCCAATTCTCTTCCTAGGTTCTGGCCCTGATTGCGTTCATCTGCATAGAGACCATCATGGAGTGCTCCCCGTGCGAAGGCCTCTACTTTTTTGAGTTTGTCAGCTGCAGTGCGCTTGTGGTGACTGGAGTCTTGCTGGTTATGTTCAGTCTCAACCTTCACATGAGGATCCCCCAGATCAACTGGAACCTGACCGTGAGTACAAGTCACCTCTCCAACTATGAAAGTATCGTGTGCTGGTTGGCTCCAATGAAAAGCCGGAATCTCTCTGTGGCATGTTTGGTTCTAGTTCATTTTTATCCTTACGTATTCTGTGATAATTCGACTGTGAGATTTAAAATTTCTGTACCGGGTAGAATAAAACTACAAAGTAAATTAAATCTTAACTAATGGTAGATCATAACATCATCATAACAAGATTATTCTGGCTCTTTTAAAGATGTCATTTCAATTTAGTGATGATCTGAGAAGACTGGTCATGTTGATATTTGCAGAATGTTGGAAAGAAAATACAATGAAGGCATTTACATACTTTTCAGACTGGACACAAAAGCCATTTTACAGAAATATTGATTCTGAAAGAATTGAAAATATGAATGAAAATGCCAATAACTGGCCAAGCCTAGGAATATTATTAAATTCAAAGCAACCGGGAGGACCTGGAGGGTTTGGTGGTTTGGTCAGAAAGTCGTGACTGGAAATGTGTCCTTTTCTCCCTGTGGTTTGGGTTCTTAGCCTTGTTTGGATACCTTTGTCATTTGGCATGGGAAAGTCAGGGCTGGTCAGTCCCAGACCCCCTTCCCTGGACTGTGTTACTTGTCCTTACTGTGCTGAATGAGAAAGGAATTTTAATATTGTTTGGTTTTCTTGATATTTCTTTGCAAATAAGCGTGTGCAAGAGCTCAGAGGGAATCAGCGAGGGAGACGCACAAGCACAGTCTGAGGCTTTGCCCTTCTTTGCTGTGGATGGAGAACCCTGCAGGCATCACAGCTGCTGAGAGGGAGAGGGAAGGGAGAGCGCTACGAGGAGCCAAGCAGAAGCCACGCGTGGCTCCATCTGGGTGTGTGTGGGTGCCATGAGAAAGTATGGCCCTGTGGGAAGAGGCCTGAGCTGTCACCTTGCCTGGCAGGGCCGCTCTATGGTGTGCCCTGGGGCATGAAGAGGGGAAGGTTCTCCTGACAGAATGTCCCATGTGTTGTACTAACGGGCACAGACTCCTAAAGGAGAAAAATTAAAAGGAGAGTTGCTGATCTGGAAAAGTTGATGTCAGTTGAAAACTTAGCTGGTTTTGTCTTAGCATCGAAAGCTGAGAAAAATTGGATGATATTTTATTTTTTTTATTTTTTATTTTTTTTGAGATGGATGATATTTTAAATTTAAGCTCTAAAACCTCAAGATAACTGGAAGCATTTTGTTTAAGTTTTTGTGACAGATTTTAGTGTCCCAACTATTTGTAAGATAAACTTTGTGCTGTCCATAAGAAAATGTATACAGAGTCACGTCCTAAATTGACAGCATAGTAGACAGATAGCTTAAGAGAACCTTATAGACCTCTCCCAACCAAAATGTGTGTTCCATGGGTGTAGGGCAAGGTCAAGGTTAGCGTCTCATTCACTGGTATCTCAGTTGTGCAGTGTTTCCTTTTTTTTTTTCTCTTTTTAATTTTTCTTTTTTTTTTGGTCACCCAAACAATATCCAGTGTTTCTAAGACCCTCTCAATAACAAACTTGCAGGAGGGGGTGGGCTGAGGAGTGACTGAAACCCTGCAGGAGGACCTGTTTGACAAAGTAGCAGATACTGGGAAGGTTAAGACCATAGGCTTTGAGTTAGACAGACCTGGCTAGGTTCAAGTCCAAAATGGCTCTTAAGGGCTGTACATGACCCTGGCCACGTCACTTAGAGCCCTATGTTGGTAAATCTCTCACCATTGGTAAAGTGGAGATAGTAATTTTTTTTTGCAGGGTTGTTTTAAGTATAAAATGAGATAATGGGTATAAAGGCATCTAGTAAGCCCTCAAACTAGTGGGCACTGCTGCCAGTTTTTGTTCTTGTTTTTGTTTTTTGAGGTGGGGTCTCACAGTGTTGCCCATGCTAAACTCACAGTATAACAATATTAATCTCACCTTGAGTAAGAGGTTGTTCTGGCAGGCTGCTTTTATCTATTAACCATACGATTCTGTAGACTTTCACCAGGTTTGACTTTATTCCCTTAATTCTGTTTTGTCAATTTATTTGATAGCCATTAATCTGTTAAAAGATTTCATGCTTCACATTTCTCACTAATTCATACTGGCGTTTATCCCCAGAAATACCTACTTTAGTGAGCTTCCTTAAATTCTGATTTTTCTAATTTAATCGTGAAAGACTTTCCACTTGTGGACTACCACGTTATTGGTTGGATTGAAGTGCATCTTTTTCATTGGAAAGTTGATACCCTTTTCTTCTGGGTGGTGTTGGCTGGGGCCCATAGCTGGGTGGTGATGTGATCACCTGAGAACGCCTTCCTGTCCTTCGGGATCCTTTCCAGAATTTCCAGCCTTTTGGAGCAGATGAAGGTTGTGTGCAACATAACATATAGGTATGTGCATTCCATGATCTTGAGGAGATGGTACCTACTGGCGGCAGCTAATGTCATCTGTTCTCTGAAAGGGGAGACAAAGTGAGTTTGGGCTGCTCGTAGCTCACCGACTGGCTACGGAAGAGCTGGCCCTGGCTGTGTTGTTTCTCTAACATGGTGGTGGGAGGATTTTTGTCCCCACCAGAGCCAGCCAGATGAGTGAAATCGGGTGTGATGGGTATAGATTTAGAAAAATGGGTCATTCCAAGCACCCAGGTTGGCATAAATATGGATGAGAAATGGTTAATAAGGACAGCGCAAAATATTCTACAAGCATAATTTGATGTAATTTGAAAGATTCTTGTTAATGTTGGATTTTGGGGGTACTTTTTAGGTGAATTATGAAACTTGTTCTGTGATTCTTTTTTTTTTTTTGAGACAGAGTCTCACTCTTTTGCCCGGGCTAGAGTGAGTGCCGTGGCGTCAGCCTAGCTCACAGCAACCTCAAACTCCCGGGCTCAAGCGATCCTTCTGCCTCAGCCTCCCAAGTAGCTGGGACTACAGGCATGCGCCACCATGCCCGGCTAATTTCTCTATATATTTTTAGTTGTCCAATTAATTTCTTTCTATTTTTAGTAGAGACGGGGTCTCGCTCTTGCTCAGGCTGGTTTTGAACTCCTGAGCTCAAACAATCCACCCGCCTCGGCCTCCCAGAGAGCTAGGATTACAGGCGTGAGCCACCGCGCCCGGCCTGTTCTGTGATTCTTGTTTTTCTCTGTGTACTAGGAGCTCACCTACGCTTGATTTTGTTTCTTGGCCCAGGAACTCAAGTGCTTGATGCTAACTTTTGCAATATCCCATTTTAAGCCTTTGTGGTTTTGTTTTTATTTTCATTTTTTGATATAGGGTCTAGCTTTGTTGCCTGGGCTAGAGTGCAGTGGTGTCATCAAAGCTCACTGCAAACTCAAACTCCTGGGCTCAAGCAATCCTCCTACCTCAGCCTCCCAAGTAGTTGGGACTACAGGCATATGCCATCACACCGGGCTAATTTTTCTATTTTTTATGGAAACGGAGTCTTGAACTCCTGACCTCAAGCGATCCTCCCACCTCAGCGTCCCAGAGTACTAGGATTATGGGCATGAGCTCCTGTGCCCGGCTAAGCCTTTTAAATTGTATTTGTTGCAGAAAAACTAGAAGATATAGGCAATTAAAAAAAAATTGTAATGACCAAAGAGAAATGAAAACACGTCCACACAAAAGCTTGCAAATTAGCTACATTCATAACCAAAAAGTAGAAACAACAGAAATGTTCATCACTGATTAAAGGATAAATAAAATGGTGGTGTATCTGTGTAATGGAATATTATTCAGTAATAAGGAATGAAGTATTGATACATGCTGCAACATGAATGAACCTTAGAACCATTACACTAAATGACAGAAGCCAGGCATGAAATGCCACATATTCTGTAGTTCTGTTTATATGCAATGTCCAGAATGGGCAAATCGATAGAGGTAGAAAGCGGATTGGTGGTTGTCAAGGGCTCGAGGAGGAGTGGGGAATAACTGCTAATGAGTGTGAGGGTTTTTTTTGGAGTGCTGAAAATGTTCTAAAATTACATTGTGATTAAATTGTACGTTTCAATTGGGTATATTTTATAGTATGTGAGTTATAGCTCAATAAAACTGTTTAAAAATCTGTGATGCAGCCCACCCATGGGTAAGCATTTATGATACTTGGGTATAAATTCTTCTAGACTATTTTTCATATATGCATGTATGTTGTGATGTGTGGGTGGGGAAAACAGAGCCCTTAAAGTCATTCTTTTTGGTTTAAATTATCAAGAGTATCTTCCATGTTAAATATACAACTGCATCATTGTTTTTAATCACTGCATAATGTTCCGTTATGGAAATACACTTTTATTTAACAAATTCCTTATTTAACATTTTATTTGCTTCCAATTTTTTGCTATTTTAAATAATGTCAGGAAGAACATCCTTAATACTTAGACTTTTTTGCCCTAATATAGTTAAGATGAATTTGCAAGTTTGGGGTTCATAGGTAAATCACATGAACCTGTTTAAAACCTTTGATACCTATTGGCAAATGGTTTTCTAGAAAGTTGTGTCATTTAAGCCCTACTTGCTGGTCTTCTCACTCTCTCAAACACTCACACACTTACCCTGGGCATATAGTCTTTGCCATCTCACAGATGAATAGCAGTATTTGATTGCCAATTTAATTTCCATTTCTTTGGTTACAAATAAATTTGAACATTTTTTTCTTGCTTATTGGCCACTTATAATTCTTTTAAATTGCTTATTTGTATCCTTTCCTCACTTTGTTACAAAAAGTAACATTAATATGATTAATATGGAAGAGCTATTTATAAATTAAGGATATTGAGCATTTTGTCAAATGGTTATTTAAAGTTTAATATTTATCAAGATTTTATTTGAAGTTCTCCACATTTGATGTAGTGCTTAGAAAGTTCTTCCTGGCCGGGTGCGGTGGCTCACGCCTGTAATCCTAGCACTCTGGGAGGCCGAGGCGGGCAGATTGTTTGAGCTCAGGAGTTCGAAACCAGCCTAAGCAAGAGCTAGACCCCGTCTCTACTAAAAATAGAAA